TTCACATTCCAACTACCAGTAATTATCAATGCATCTTGATTGCATGTTTGATCAATTTCAGGCTGCAAAAGTTTATAAAAATCTTCAGTTTCTTTATCTTTGGCATTAGTGGTCAGTGCATAAATTTGTATAAAAGTCATATTAACTCATCTTTCTTGTAGGCATGTGGATATTATTCTATCACCAACAGTGTTGTACCTTAGGCTAGATCTTGAAATGCTCTTTTTGACAATGAATGCAACATCGTTCCTCTTCAATTTATCATTCCTGGCATAGTAGACCATATAACTGATTGTCTGATTCAAAATGGCCAATACCAGTCCATTTCAGCACACTAATGGCTAGGATATCTATCTTCAAGCATTACATTTCATTTGGACAACTTCCAATTTTTCTAGTTTCATACTTCATACATTCCAAGTTCTGATTACTGATGGATGTCTACAGCTGTTTCTTCTCATTTTGAGTTGTGCCACATCAGCAATTGAAGGTCCTGAAAGCATGACTCCATCAACGTCATTAAGATTGACTCTACTTTGAGGAGCAGCTCTTCCCCAGTCGTATTTTGACTGCCTTTCAACCTGAGCCCATTGCCGTTGAGTCAATTCCGACTCATAGTGACCCTATAGGACATAGTAGAACTGCCCCATAGGGTTTCCAAGGAGCGCCTGGTGAATCTGAACTGCCAGCCTTTTGGTTAGCAGCCGTAGTTCTTAACCACTACGCCACCAGGGTCGCTATGAGTCGGAATCGACTTGACAGCAATGGGTTTGGTTGGGTTTGGTGTTTTTTTTTTTTTTTTCAACCTGAGAGGCTCATCTTACTTCACTATATCAGACAGTTTTCCACTCCTATTGATAAGGTTTCACTGGCCTACTTTTTCAGAAGTAGATTGCTAGGTCTTTCTTCGTAGCCTGTCTTAGTCTGGTAGCTCTGCTGAAACCTGTCCACCATGGGTGACCCTGCTGGTATTTGAAATACAGGTAGTATAGCTTCCAGCATCACCGCAACAAGCAAAACACCACAGTATGACAAACTGACAGGAGTGGTGGCCGTAAAGATTTACAGCCTTGGAAATCCTATGGGGCAGTTCTACTCTGTCCTGTAGTGTTGCTATGAGTCAAAATCGACTCTATGGCAACAGGTTTGGTTTTGGTTTTTTGGTCACTCATGACCTAATGTAATCCTCAGTAACAAGGTCTGTATCTCTCAAAAGGCAGGAATTTTTTGGTAGTGAATCCCTAACCTAATACAACTAGCCCCTGACACTTACCCTTGAAATAAGACGTTAAATGTTAAATAGGAGTGTCATTTAGTTCTGGTTATAGAACAAATCCATAATGGCACACCTGCAGAGGACAGCTATTGCAGAGAATTGTCAAGAATACTGGTGGTCTTCTTACCGATGTATTTCTTAATGCTTTGGTGAAGGGATTGTCCTCTGCGCCCTCCCGAGGAGTACACTAAACAGATGGAAGAGTGTGTCACACATGACGAATCCCCTCCAACACTCCTGTCTCACCAAGCCTTTGGATCCTTTTCTCTCTATTCTACCAAGGAAGTTCTAGCATCTTAACCTAATTTAATGAAGGTCATTGTTGAGGCTGCTTTTAGTCCACCAACTCAGCAAACTTTTAGAACCACTCCTGGCAAATTAAGCTAATACACTGAAACCAGAACCTCTGGTGCTACACACCTATCAATAATTTCAACATGATATTCAGTCTTCTTTGTTCTGGAAGCCACTTCCACACAGAAATCTTCCAGTGCTCACTCACATTACCAGCATCTTGGAATTCTTTCACTGTGCAAGCTTTCTCCTCTCGTGCAGAGGTCCTACTCATTTTCCTGGGGTACACTGAGACCTGACTCTAGGGGTAGGTCTAGAGGCAAGGAAGCATTGGCACCCTTTGCAAGGTTCATGCCTTTAGGGAAGTCATTACAGGATCTTCAAGCAAGGGGCAGCCAGCCTCTCCAAGAGGGGAGGAGGGACTATTTCAACCGGCAACGGCAACAGAGATTCAGTGGGATTTAGGGGTTCAAGATACTCAGATTCATCCAAATTTCCCAAAATGCCCCCATTCCAAATCTGAGGGTTTCTGAATAATCTGAAACTTTCCCATACGAGACCTAACAAGGTTATGATTTTGACTCGTGTGGAATTTGGTGATCCACAGGATTTATAACTGTATTCTCTTTGTAGCTACATAAGTTAAGAGATTCTTCAAGGACATTGGAGTTCTCTGGTTCTCTGAGCTGTCATTTTATTCTGTAAACTCCCAGGGCATTCAGAAGCAGCTAGCCCTCCCTACAGTCCTTATAGTCATCATCCCTGCCAGAAGGATCTAACTCAGCAACTATTTGGTCTAGCAAAGACCTGCCTTTAATAGGCTCTCTATTCCTCAATGATGATTTAAGTGACTGTTTTTTTCCATTTCATGCCTAAGACTATCATCTCATTTTTCACTGGTGACAAAGTCATCATAAGGAGCTCTGGTGGCACCGTGGTGAGGCACTCAACTTCTAACCAAATGGTTAGTGGTTCAAACCCACCCAGTAGCTCCATGGGAGAAAGACTTGGTAATTTCTTACAAAGATTACAGCCTAGAAAACCCTATGGGACAGTTCTGCTCTGTCACAGGGGATTGCTATGAGTTGAAATCATCTCAGAGGCACCTAACAACAACAAAGTCATCATAGCCTTCAGATATGACCAGGTCAGATAGATAATACCCAATTCCTATCTTTGAGAGTCAGTTTCCCCGAAGCCAGTTTTGGTATCAGTTTCAGTCTTTGTTTAGGTTTATTCAGGAAAACAAAAACCACCCTAAGTATTTCAAGCAGAGGAGAATTAGATGCTGGGAATGGGCACTGGTAACACCATTGGAAGGACCCAAGGAGCAAAAGAAAAGAAATATCACCACTGTCTTCAGGTTGACCACCAAAACTCCAGCCCAGTAAAGCGAGAAGTTCCTCTTGCTTCCTAGGTTGGGAAATGGCAGGATATTTCTGTTTGAGGGACCCAGCTACCCTGTTTACCAAGGTGGGCAGCTCGTAAGGGAGCACATTATGTCTGCCACCACCTATGCGTCTGTCTGCTGCTGTCAGAGAAACAAGAAAAATTTTCTGCCTTTATCCCACTTTCCAATTGTCATAGAAATGTATCTTGTTGGCAGAAGGCAGACAACACCCAGAACTCTGGAACCAAAGGAATCTGAGAGTGTAGTTCTCTGGCTTCTAGTCCCCATGATACATACAAAAAGTATAGACAGGACTGGACGGGGGATCAGTGCAGATTGTGCTCCCCCATCTGGCACTGCAGGCAGTGCCCGATTTTATGAAGGCTGTTAATTTCAATTCCAACGGGATGAAAAACTTCAGAGCTATTCCACCCAGCCTTTCTACCTTATTCCCCCCGCCCCTGCTGCCATGCGCACATCTTTGCCTACTGTTTCTTGTTTTATACTTTCCTGCCCTCTTTTCCATTTCAGCTTCTCTGCCTCTCTGGCTAGTCACTGTGCCTTTTTGCCACAGAAGCCAGAGTGGCAGATGGTTGAAGGAGGAAGCTTAGAAGAGAAAGAGGACAGGTTCTAGCCTTCCCGAGTCTCAGTACAAGTAATGCTCTGATGACTCCGTCTTTCTCTTTTCCCCACATCAGGACGAGAATTGTACTTTTGGAAGTTATTCTCTGGCACTGGAGCAGTGGAAAGGGTGTAAACCTGTTGTGTGGCAGGAACCGTGATAAGTGATTTTCATGCATCGCTGTGTGCCCTGGAGTCAATTCCGACTCATCGTGACCCTATACGACAGAGTAGAACTGCCCCACAGGGTTTCCCAGGCTGTAATTTTTACCAGAGTAGGTGGCTGGACCTCTTCTCTGGTGGAGCCGCTGGCGGGTTGGAACCGCTGACCTTTGGGTTAGCAGTCCAGAGCTTAACCATGGTGCCGCCAAGGCTGCTAAAAAACAAACCTATTGCCGTGGAGTCGATTCCAACTTACAGCAACGCTGTAGAATAAAGTAAAAAAAAAACTATAGGGTTTCCAAGGCCGAAATCTTTATAGTAGCAGACGAACCGCCACCCTTTCGGTTAGCAGTCAGCGCTTTAACCACTGCGCCTCCAGGGCTCCCTCTCGCCCATAATCCTTTTAAAACCCCACCCAGCTCTGTGAGACAAGACTCTCAGAGAGGCTGAGTAACTTGCTCACGATCCCACAACTACAAAAGACCTCCGTCTGCGCATATTGGTTTCCATGAGATACTACAGGGAAAGCTATTTCGAAATGAGTGGATGGAGAAGAACCGACTTTTCGAGTCTGGCTGCTCCGCCAGTCATCTCCATCTCAGCTGATCCCGCAGGCGCTTCGGCACTTCAGGGCTGTCACCCGGATCTCGCGCCAGTGCGGCACCAGACCCTGGCAGGAAGAGCACCGGGGCCCGGGTCCGAGAGTCAGGCAGGGAGGGAGTAGGCGTGTTGGGGGTGGGAGGCGTGATCCGGGGGTTGCAGGCTCTGGGCCGAGAAGCAGAGAGGGGATGGCGAGGGGAGGGGCGTTCCCGGCCCCGCCCCCGCCCCTCCGTGAGCTCCCATTGGCCGAGCGTGCCCTGGCCCCATTCCCTCCGCCCGCCCCCAGGCGCCGCTTAAAGTGTGCGGAGCAGGTGGCTCGCTTGGAGCCACAACTTTGCGCGAGCGTCCCGGCTGTTGCGCGCCCATTCATTGCCTAGACCGCCCTCCGTCTTCGCCGCGCCGACCAGTGGGAAGGGCTCCGGCGGACCTACTGCCAGCCCGGTTGCGACCCGAGAGGGGCCGAGAGCGCGCTGAGCCCGGGCCGGCCATGCAGATGTGCACCAGGGCCTGGACGCTGCGCCT